TCTGCCTGAGAGGGTGTCTCCTATAAGTACCAACGCCTCTTTCCTTGAGGCCTTGTTCCAATTTTACCAGCTCAGTTCCTAGTAGAGTTCTTAGTGTTCTCTGAGAACCCGCCTCCCAACAATGTCTCAGTGTGCCCAGCTTTCAGCTTTTTTCCAGGGTTGCTCAGGTCCCCTGAGTCCAGGGGAAAAGGCCACACATGGCTTCTTCCTCCAGTGTGGGCAGTCTGGCTAAGCTTTTCACCTCTCTGTGGTTAAAAGGAGGCTGCAACCAGAAGGCACAAAGAGGCTCCTGGTTCCTGCTTGGGTAAAGGCTTGGCTGGATGCTTGAGGGCTTGGAGCTTTTGGTTCAAGTTAACTCCACCTAGTCCCATGCTCCTGGCTGCCCGATAGTCACAATTATTTGAACTAGGTTTAAGTGAGAGGGAGATCTGCCATCTCCCTGGGACTGTGAAATCTCAGCAGGTGGCTCAGCCCTAAGAATGCTTTACAGTTGTGCTCTACTTCAAAGCACCTTCACATCCCTTATCACAGAAGTTCACAATCAGCCAGAGATTCAAACAGCCTCCAGTCAAACAGCTGGTTAATGATTAGAGAGGATTTAGCTAACATCAACCTCAAATCCAGTGCTGTTTCTCCCAGCTGCCTCCTACCTAACTCTTCCAACCAAGGCTCAGTTTATTGAATTTGGAGATCCAATGGCAACATCCAGTTCATTCCTTGCACAGAAGCTGGAAGAAGCACGGAGAAGGGGGGATGTCTATCTGGCTTTAAACAATACACAGGCACACACATGTTTGAGAAGTTGTGTGCACACATTTTTGTAAATCAGATATGCTCATAAATGTAGAGGCCAGAGTGGTTCCAGGATGTTTACTCTGAGAAGTTCATTATAGCAAAGAAAAACAAAAAACAGAACACCTTCAAAATTAACATTATAGCTCTGCCTGCCCCTTTCCCCTCCTTCCTTAAAAAACATCTTTTGTGCATATTTTTTATCACACTTTTTATGGAGTTTGTTTATGAAGGGGTGGTGGTACCTCCAGAGGTTGGGAACTAAGTTCTGGCTCCCCCTACTGGGTGCAGGATGGATTCATTGGCCCAAAGGAATTTACTCAGCCTTCCCAAAAGACTCTGGGGCTCTGAGGACAATCCTGTACCTGTTAGTGTTTAGAAAGACGGGAGAAAGCAGGGCTCCCTGAGGAGCGGTGTGATCATAGAAGACTTTCTAGGAGAGTTAGGACCTGAGCTGCCCCTTGAAAGATTTCAACAGGAGTTGGTTATGTATGAGCAATTTCGTTTTTGGTTGAGAGCAGTTTTGACAAGGTGAGTACTGTGTGAGTTAAGAAAATTGGATGAGGGCCAGCCGAGTGGCGCGATGGTTAAGAACTGGCTTGGGATGCCAGAGGGCCCCGGTTTGGATCCCACATATGAGGGCCAGTGACACTGCCCTCTACAGCTAAGATGCTGAACAACAGCTCAACCTGGAGCTGGGCAGCCATGAGTCGCCGGCGACGGCGTAGGCTGCAGCCCCTGTGGCAGTGGGTTGCCATGGGCTACCGTGTGTAGCCAGCAGCCAGCGTGAGTGGCCAGCAGCCGCTGTGAGCGGACGTCCAGAAGCCGGCGCTGATCTGCCTCGCCCGGGAAGAGCACAATGATGGTGCCAACTTGGGCCAGTGAAGCAACGTCCTCCACAACTAGACTGAAGAACAAAACGACAGCAACTTGTCTGTCCCCTTTCCCCAATTCCCCAATAAAAAAATTTAAAAAAAGAAATTAAAATCTTAAAAAAAAAAAAAAGAAAATTGGATGAGCTGGCTGGCCTAAGCAGAAGGTTTAAGCCAAAGGAAAGGGAAGTGAGGAATTTTTGTTGTAGGCTTTTTGAGCAAAGGAGCAATCAAGATTTCCTGTCTACTCTCCTCCTTTATTATTATTTTTCTATTCACACATGTTGAAGAACAATTGGGAGGGGAGCATCTTAAATAACACTACTAGAAAATACAGATAAGCAAAAGAATAAAAACTACCATCAAAACTGCCAAGAGATCCATACTGACATTCTGGTGATAACATTTTAGATTTTTCCTATACTTAAATATGGATATGTATGAATTTTATAAGATATCCTGCTTTAGAAGCTGGCTTGTAAACACTTTGTTATTTAATAATCTATCTTAGCAATCATTCTATGTTAGTACCTATAGATTTACCTGTATGTGCTATTTTTTAAAGTTTTTATTATGGAAAATTTCTAACATTACAAAATTAGAAAGACTAGGTATAATGAGCCCCCGTATACCCAGCTACCCGCTTCAACACTTATCAACATATTGCTTTAAAATCATCTAATTCTCTGGATTATTTTAAAACAAATCCTTGACATCATGTTACTTCATCTGTAAATAACGTATCTCTAAAGAGCGAAGGATTTTTTTTTAATAACCACAATGTCATTATACCTAGAAAAGGAAATGATTCTTTACTATTATCTAATATCCTGTATAGCAGGAATGCCAACAACAAAATCCAGAATGTAGGGAAAATGACCTGTTTTTTCCAACAATACATAGCAAGAAAAAAGACAACTGTTGTAGCTTAAGGGAGACTTCGGACAGGCACATCTAGCAAATGTAATGCATAGATGGTGTTTACATCCTGATTCAAAAGAATGCAACTGTAAAAAGATAATCAGGGAAAATGTAACGCTGGACAGAGGATGAGGCCTCTTTGTTCTCCATGGTAAAGGCCATTTGCCGACTGCAGAAAACACTGTGGTGAGTGTCATGGCCTGAGTTGTGGTGGTTTGGGCCCTGTAATGTGTTCCTTACCTGGGAAACCCCTCATCTGCCCCTGAAGGCCTTTCTGCTAAAAACAAAATTATTGTCCTAACCACCATGCTTAAGTTTCCACCATTAGATCTTTTTTTCTTTTTCGAGAAATGGGGATGTGATATTACCTGATTAAAGATGCTATTCCCAGGACGGCCAAGTGGCGCGATGGTTAAGAACTGGCTTGGGACGCCAGAGGGCCCCGGTTCGGATCCCACATATGAGGGCCAGTGACATTGCCCTCTACAGCTAAGATGCTGAACAACAGCTCAACCTGGAGCTGGGCAGCCATGAGTCGCCGGCAACGGCGTAGGCTGCAGCCCCTGTGGCAGTGGGTTGCCATGGGCTACCATATGTAGCCAGCAGCCAGCGTGAGTGGCCAGCAGCCGCTGTGAGCGGACGTCCAGAAGCCGGCGCTGATCTGCCTCGCCCGGGAAGAGCGCAATGATGGTGCCAACTTGGGCCAGTGAAGCAACGTCCTCCACAACTAGACTGAAGAACAAAACGACAGCAACTTGTCTGTTCCCCTTCCCCCAATTCCCCAGCGCTGTTCCCATTTCCCAATTCCCCAGTAAAAATCTTACAAAAACAAAAAACAAACAAAAAAAACCTCTGCAAAATTACCCAAAAGATGACAGGAGCCAGTTGGCCATTTTGAATGAGGCACGTGGCCTGAGGGAAAACAAGGAAGTCCTTTCATGGCCTGGGGATAGGAACTGCTAGCAGGAAAGGGAGGGACCCCATGAAGTCCATAAAGTCCTTCTGTGATACACTTTGCTGGAAAGTCTGGCTGGAAAATGGGAGCAGGACCAAGATTCCATGGAGGCTAGAGGCGCAGGCCAGGCCCACCCGACATCCTGTCACCTTTTCTGAGCATGTTCCACGAATGAGTCTCATAGTAACCAAAAACCTGAGGTTGTGAAGTAAAGCAGCATGTCTTCGATTTAATCTGTATTTCCCCAAAATAATTTGTCTATGGGACACTTTGCAAACCTCAATTATTGTTCCATGGATTAGGGATTCTAAAAACCTCACTTTGGGAAAGGCTAATTCCAGTCCCTTAACAGTCCCATCTCCTCTAGGAAGCCTTCTCAGTTGCTTCAACTTATTCACCTCCCCTTCCTGTTTTGCAGCCTTTAATCATGTAGGTAGGTGCCTGTGTGAGTCATGTTTGGAATCAAGTCGCTTAAAGGCAGTGCAAAGGGCAGCTGTATCCACCGTGTCTTGGAAAGAACAAGTGCCATGTGACACAGGAATACTTACTGCCTTGCCTGGCTCTGCCCTGACAGGTCTTCTAGAGATGGCTGTGAGGAGGGTAGTATGATTTAGCAGTCGGCCTTCTCTTAGCTACAGCCCTAAACTGGCTCTGGGAAGAGTATCACTCAGGACAGTCACTGTGTCCTCCTCTTAAAAAGGGCATCTAGGACCTGTGGTTCCAACCTCAAAAAAATGATGTCCTGTTGCCAGAGCACTGTGCAGCCAGCCACATTCAATCATTCTCAGGGCACCCTTTACAGAAGCAAGCAGGGCCTTGGTTTATGTAAGAGGAGCTGGTCAGCTGGCTCAAATCCAGTCATTTGGAGTAAGGACTAGCACCCTCCTTCCTCATCTTCAGCCTTTCCCGGCTCCCCCACCAAGCACCACACTACATCTTCTGGGGCATATCCACCCTCAACTGGACCCCAGAGCAACTGATCTTGGGCCAGAGCTGGGGACCAGGGACAAGCAGGTCTTAATGTTTGTGCCTGCATTTGACCTGCTTTTAACCTTGAGAGAACTCTTTTGCTTCCCTTCTGCTCCAAGCAATCCTAGCACCCCCCCCAAGCTGACCTGCCAACCAGTCATTTAGGGCCTTTTCCCTGCTGCCTCTTGGCTATACATACTCACTCAAACCACTTTGCACTGGAATAATATTTATTTTTTTACTTGGCAAAAAGTCAAGTGCTACATTTTTTAAAACAAACTCAAAAAAATCAAACGCATTACCCATCACAGAAGAGGGTCTGGCAACAGTACAAAACATCCTACTTAAGAACTTAAGATTTTTTTTTTTTAATATACAAGTTGGTTTAAAATGATAGAAGTTCTGTGAGAACTAAGAAATCTACAGCCTGTAGTTTAATAGAAAAAAAAATTAAGACAATTAAAATCTATAGCATCCAGCATTTTGCTTAATTCCCTGTTTATAGCACCTATTTCTCTAGGATAGAAGATGGGAATTCTAGAACCTGTGATGTATGCATTGTACCACCAGATATGGTGACTTGCTGGCTTCCCTCCCCACCAGCCTCCATCATCATGGTAAAGACACTCTTCTTTTCAATCTCCCCACTTACACCTGGGGCAGAGAGGGATGACTGGGAGAGCAACTTAGAAACTGGGGTGCAGGAATACATAGGACTTTTCCTTTCCCCAGAACGGGCCATTGACAGAAGCAGAGTATGTGCTTCGAATGGAGGAGGAATTTGTGGGTGAAAACAGCTGTTATCTGCAACATGATGCATAAAAAGCAAGGAATAACTGGACATCATGATCAGTCAGTTGCCTGCAAGTTTAAAAACCTCAGACTAAACAGACAATTCAAGGGAGGAACAAATTACTAATCACACCAATGCTTTTACATGCACAACATTGCTGGCTGTGGCCACCCCATCACCATCCCAGGGCTGAGCCAAAAGAGTGGGAGGTGGCTTCAACCCCAGCACTCACTACACAGAGATAGAACCCCTGCTCACCCCCACCCTCCTGGACTAAATCCAATTTAGAAAACAGAAGCAAAACTCATTGGAGAGATTAAAGACTAAGAAGTTTCTTCCCAAAGCCAAGGGGACTCAGTATGTGAATCTTAGCAGACTTGAGGCCCCCAGCTCCAGGCCCCTGAGATACCAGATCAGATCTTGTTTGAGGCGAGGGACAGGGAAGTTGGGATGGGGATTCTGTTTACCAAGTCCTAGCAAGACTTCTGCAGCCTCCAGAGCTGCATCTGGGTGGAGACTCTTGTTTTAGAGAAGCAGCCACTGGCTAATCAGATGGGAAGTTTTAAGTGGAAGTGACACATACACAAAAGTGTTCTCACCTAGGGGACACACAGATGGGAAGACGGGAAGGGAATGGATTGCCAGGACTCCAAAGCACAAAGAGGCCCCAGGAACCCTGCAATCTAACTCAAAGAGTTTTCCTGGTGATTTGTTTTCCTTTCTGTTGTTACTTCCTATAATCAGTGTTGTTAGACTTTAAAAAACAAGATAAAGACTAGTCCCAAAGCTGGATTCTGAATAAAGTTGTTTCTTTTATAAATATTTTAATTACAAGTATCCTCACTCCAGGTAATTTCAGTAACACACGGTACTTACAGGCACACAAGTTCACACACACACACACACACACACACACACACACACACACAATGTGCGCGCGCGCACACATGCACACACAGCCCCCAAACTTTCACAGAAAGTCTGACAGCAACCACATAATTGTAAAGGAGCTCTACCACTGAAGAGTGAAGTAAGGGTGAGAATGACTGTCAGCCTTTAAAGAAGCCAGAGAGGGGAGAGTGTGTGTCACTTGAAGAAAAAAATACAAATAGGGACTAAAAATGCTTTGTTGATAAGCCACAAAGAAAAAACAGTAAAATTCTGATTACCAAAAGGGAAAAAAGGTAAAAAACAAACAAAACCTTCAGATTTCTGTACAGAGCTTCTTCCTGTTGAGTGCCTAAACCATAGGCAAACTGATGTTCCCACTAAAATATGAGGGCTTCACACAATTGGAAAATATCAAAAGAAGAAACAAGGAAACAGAGGATGAAAGTTAGTGTAAATCTCTGCATTTTGGGAGAGTTAGCTGTCATTAGCTCCAGAGCCCAGCATAGTTTCCATGGAGCCCTGAAGGGAGGGGACCGCCTGCCACAAAGAGTTTCGTTCCAGACGAGTCGTAGCAGTGGGTGTAAACAGCATTGGGGAAGAAATCAATGTCCGAAAAGTAATTCCTCCAGGTTTCATCATGATTCTATGGGAAGAGAAGGAGACTCTGTTAGTGCCTCTAGGCCATGAGGTAGGAAAGTGGGGAGGAAGAGACAGGAATGCTTTTTGGTCTCTTTAAGAGAAGAGGGTCCTGTATCTGTAACCTGATGTCAGGAGATTAATGCTCATGTGAATACGGGTATCATTTTTTCCAACTGAACATTAGGAAGGAACTGAGGAGGCTGAAGAATTGCTATACAAACCGAAGGTCTTCTCAGGATAGCAGGAAACAAACTCTTAACTAATTCACCAGCAGCCTCAGGGGGAGGTTCCTTCTCCTTCCTGATCTATTATCACCTAGGGGGAAATCCTAGGTCAACCAGTGTCTTATTAGGCCTGTTTTCCCACGGACAAGTGGACACAAAAGTAAAATCAAGGGAAAGCGCCTCGGTCCAGGAGTGCCTCTTACTACTGAAAAAGTATGTGGGAGGTGGTGTGTCAGTGGGAGTGGGAGTGGATGCGTAGAGCAGAGACGATTTTTCTGTCACTGTCCAGGAAGCCTGTTGGGCAGGGGCTTACTCACCAGCCAGCCTTTGCCAGTGGTTAGTTTCAGATTCTCCCCAGCTAGTCTGGGTTTCGATCCATAACAAGCAGAGAGCCTCTCTTCCAGGAATCTCTGAGCTCGGATGTCATAGAACAGCAAAGAGCCCTGCCCTGTGCCCACAGTGATGATGTGCTCATAGAAGCTCACTGACCGGATCCCTGAGAGAGAAAAGTAAAGGGCAATGAGCAGGGGGCTTATGCACTTGACTGTCAGCTAGCCTGAATTTCTCCAACACTGAGTTCACAGGGTACCCCAAATATCAGACAGCACCTTTCCCACAGCAGGCGTTACTCATGCAAAAGCCAGAGAACCCTGACCCATACTGCCATCCATATAACTAATGGGAACCTTCCCATAAGCCTCACGAGGAGAAGTGCCAGATGCTTGATGGTGCCCAAGATGCTTTTGACCTAAGACTATAAGTGCGCCCTGAACCTCCCTGCCTCCCCTAGACTCACTCTGGAGTCATCTTTCATAGCTGTAAGCTTTCTTCTCCATTATAAGTTTTTAACTTACACTGAAACTGAGGGTAATCTGCATATTTACAAATCATTACATTAATAAAGACTTCCTTGTTTTTGACCTAAAACACTACCATGGCACTGCAAGAGGTCTTTATTTGGTATTAAGTGTGTTATGAGGGTGCCAGACAGCCTAGAACTGAAACACCCAGAGCACTGTCTCTCACTTACAGTGTCAATTTAAAACAAGTCACCTAACCATTCTGGGTCATAAGGAAAATGTATCTGTGGACCAAATAAGTACATGGAATATGAGGATGTCTCTTTATACAGAAGAGGTGTTCAATAACATTTGTGGAATCAGTATTTCCTTATTAGGTATGTTACTCCTGTATCAGTAACCAAAATCTCTTAAAACTTTTCACTGCAGTTATCATTCCAGTGAAGCCTATTTATTCTTTCCCTTACTACTCTCAATACATACATGATTCTCTCTGTTCTGAAATGTTGAGTATCTTAACTATAATTGAAAACAAACAAACCCCAAACAAAAGCCATTTTTGCAATCTCTGCATGCAAATAAACACTACGTGAGAAGCTAAAATGTAATCAATATTGTGCCCTTTAGAGTTCTCAGGATAAGAGAGTCATATTTTTGCATGAGTGAGACAAATTAGAAAATACACTTCGTTAAGTTGGATGATCCGGATTCTAGTCCCTGGCTGTTCCCCAAATAACCTGTGTGATATTGGGCAAGTTATTTAACTGCTCTGGGTCTCAATCTCCTCATCTATAAAATGGGGTCAACACTATCTTTTCCTACCTGCTTCCCACACAATTCTTAGTGACATGAAATGAGATGTCAGATAAAAGTATTCTGAAACTTTAAAGTACAGTACAAATATAAGTTTCTCTTTTTGTTCCTCAATAAAGAATGAGAGTGTTCTTGTAGAGAATATGCTATAAAAGATGGCAAGCTGAAGCGTAATTCACCCTGTGGTCAGAACTATTGGGTTGTTGGAAAAGTCATGACGTATTTTTTCTGTTTTTCGTTGCAAAAATGCATCATGACTTTTCCGACAACCCAATAAATGAAATATTTTCTTCAGTTTTACTGAGGTATCACTGATATACAATACACTGCACATATTTCAAGTATACAATTTGAGTTTTAACATATGTACATACCTGTGACACCATCACCACAATCAAACTAATGCACATATTCATCACCCCCAAAAGTTTCTTCATGTCCCTTTGTAAACTCTTCCTTACCCCACCATGCCAGTCCTTAGCATAAAATGAATTTTACAGTTCAGGCAGGGCCCAGCAAAAATTACCACAGGATGGAAAATAGGAGTGTGAAAGAACATGGAAACTACCAATAACCTGACTGTTGATTTCTACCAAAGGCTTCTGTGGCCACACATTTGTCTGTGGTGTTTGAGGCTCTGCTGCTATATTTAAGCTCCCCTCCTGTGTCACCAAACACCGCCACCAGGTTCCATACAGATCACTATGCCTGTCTGGAAATCAACATAGAAACTGAAGGTTAAAACCCAATGCCGCTGTAAGCCTGGGGGGCACACCAGGACTCTTACCACTGCCACGCTCCCTGGAGCAAACAGACTTGATGTTGTATGATGGCTGCCGTGGATCCAAGAAGGAGACATGAGCTTGGGAGCCCACTGCATATACTGACCATTCACTACCATAAGCCAGACACACATTCTCACGGCAATATGGCAATTTGGTGGACAGGAGCTGAAAACAGAGAAGGAATGTACCCATGGCGTTATCAGAGAGCATATGGCAGGGCATTGTTCTTAGATGCCCACCTCTGTGGGCTTCCCTCATACACAAGCCACACAAAGTCAGAGACAAAAAGATAAGCTCCGATTAAGGAAATAACACCCTGTTCCACCCCGAGGTATGTGAGAGAGAGGGTGACTATGTAATAAACAATAAGATCTAAGTACCAAAGAGGACTGGATAGGGAAAAAGGTCAAGCTGGAATTAAATAATCAGGAGCAGAGAGAAAGGCCAGGTCCTACAGGTTGTTTCCAGGGATAACCCTGGGCACTAAAACCAAGGTTCCACTCTGTTCTCTCTGCCAGGAAGAGCCACCACCCTTCTCACTGCTCTTCAGATACAGGGGCTGAATGCTAGCTACCCTCAGCCTAGCTCCCAAATTGTATGGGAGCTGAACACTACAGAAAGCACCTTCATGGGACTGGCTCAACCCCAGGGAACACCAATCAACCTTAACCCTGGATCTCTGTCATTCAGCCAATTCTCAGTGGGTGCCTATTGCATATAAAGGGCAGTGGAACTCAGAGGATGCTCTGACATGAAGGAATCAATAATTCCTGGGGCTCTGCTGCCTCTTGAGAAAGAGTCTATCACAGAAGTAACAAGCAGCAAAGGTCTCTGGGACAAGAAGAGGGCAAATGATTCACAGGTAGACTTAACTTTATGCAAAAGTTGCCTGTAAACATATAAATTAAATTCACACTCTCATTACCTTACATGATCATTTCAGGGATGGTTTATCTTAGTTTAATTGCTCTTCAGTTGCCAGTGGTTCCCAACATTTAGGTTTTCTGCCGCTCACAACATGCCAGTCAGTAATCCATAAGCAAATGCTTAAATACATTGTGGACTGAAAGACTGCTAATTAGAGAAGCTTCTCAGCAAGCCCTTACATCATGAAAGAATTGCCACCTCTAATCTCTTTAAAAGACTTTGAAGAGAGGCACACTAGACTGGAGATTCCATACACCATGCAATCACATGCCCAGACCCTTGGAGTACTGATGCTTTAGAGAAGAAGGAAAGGTGAATTTATAGGTAAAACTACTAAGTCATGATCATCACACCTTAGACAGTGTATTTTCAGCCTTCCAGAGATGAAAGTAGCCATCCAGAGATACTGCTCCCAATTCCTACAAGAGCAATGAAAAACAGGTTATATTCCAATCTGTAGCAACTAATATACAACAGTAAGCGGGGGAAGATCTTGAAGGTGGGGTCCTCCCATTCTTCATTCCTATCCCATGATGATTCCAGCAGGAGTGACAGAGATTATCATCTCATTATGAGCCCTATGGAATGTAGCTGGACAGCTTATTAAATCGAGGCTGCTTCTTGAGAGAACCCAAGGAGCAAGTCCAATTTCTAGCAATAACATAGACACTCAGGATTCAAAATGCCCTTACTACACATTCCCATGATATCCTGTTTGACAGAGCACACACGAAGGACAGCTTCTTAAGTCTCAGTGTGAGAGCTTCTCTAAGGGGAGGGTCTAAGCTAGGAGAGATGAATCTACTCCTACTCCATAAATATGGATGTGAGAGCGGAGGCTGAGGGAACTACCCTTCAAATTGTTTCAGGGGATCTAACTCAGTGATTAGGTTAAGATCTGGTGGAAAAGCTGAGAACAGGCAGTGAAGAATGAAAAGAAACTGAATACCAAAGAGGAAAAACAAGTGATTGCTTTCAGAAGCATGTATGAAAATCACAACTAAAATAGAGCGCCTACAAAGGTGTATGCAAATGAGAGACAATCAAATCGGAGTGGCCCTGGGGAAATTCTAAGAGCCTGACCCACGAATATGGACCATCCAGAGAAATACAGCAGAGTTGAATACAAAGGGTTTCATAATCTGTTATAATTTCCCATCAGCATCCCTCAGCCTTCAAGAAGTGCTCTGTGGGCTCAGAACTGAGCTATACAGCAAGCACTGACTTGGAGAAGAAGAGAAGTGCATCTCCCAAGACATAAGCTAAGAAGACAAAGCAAAAGGAATAGGCTTCAGAGAACTTTGATGAGCTCATACCTTGTTCTTGTTGTTGAAGGCCAGAGCACGGACCTTGCAGTTGTCTGGGTTTGTGTCCTCCTTGGGGATGTCCTTTAAGGCCTTGTGAGTGATGTGAGCATACACAGGCACCTGTGACACATTGTGCCTTGCATCACTTCTGGTCAACACATCGTCTGTCACCTCCCAGAGTCCCATAGAACCATCACGCGAGCCTGCAGGTCAAAGAAACCACAGATGTCAGACATACCCAACTGTCCATGGAACAGTCCCACAGAAGCCAAGATGAGCTTTCTTACTCTTGCTCTTCGTGCATCATCCTCAGAAGTGCTGAAGCTTGGTCAGGTGGCCCATTACCAAATGGAGAGCAGTATGCATTTTAATAGCCACACCAAGAGGATGATTCAACTAAGGTGTATGAGTTAAAATATAACCTTAAAGCATAACATGGTTGGTGGGATTTTACAAAAGAGAGCATTACACAGTTTGATAAAGCTCAGTAATTTTCCAAGCCAAATGCTTAGGTCACTGGGGCATTCATACACAGATCATTTCCTCTGAGCAGTAGGGTTTGGGAACCTCCACTTTAGATCAGTGGTGCTTAACGTTTTCTACGTGCGCCTTGTACCTCTTTGAGAGACTTATGAATTTCTCTAGAAAAATACACAAAAATACCACATTGTGCATTTAATTTAATTGAGGTTCATGGGCCTCTTAAGGCTTTCCATGGACCCATAATCCATATTAAGAATAACTGTTCTACATGAAATGAATGCTTAAAAAGATAGTTCTCCTTAGCAAACAATAATGAAGTACTTAAAAAATCTAAGAACATTTTTCTTTGAACTGAGCCCTGAATATAGTGCTGGTGGTAAGCTAAAATGGGACCATCTTTCTATAGTACAACTGAGCAATCTGCAGCAAACCTGAGGAAGCTTGTGTTCCCATCTAGGAATAATCTACTATCAAAAGATCCATATACAAAGACATTTATTCAGAACAATCTGTATGTCCCACAGTATGGCTATGTTATAGTTAGAACCACTTAAAAAAAAAAACCACACAAAAACCATGGTTTTAAAATTCCTTTTCAGTAAAGTTATATGTCAACTCTCCTTTGAGACCAGATGGTGCCCTTCCCACATTTAAATCTCCTGAGTACTTTGTAGTAAAAATTGTCTAACGGGAGAAATAGCATCCAATTTGTTTGTATCATAAGGCTTGTGGGCAGGGATTCAAAGCGGAGGGTTCATCATGTATAAAATATAGAAAAGGCCAGAGAGAGGATACATCTGGAGAGCCACACATGGTTTATTATGCAAATTTAAAAAATAAAACTATACAAGTTTTATTATGAAAAACTTCAAGCATCTTGAAATACTGAAAGAATTTTATAATGAGTTATGTACTTATACCTATATTCCACCATCAACATTTTATTATATTTGGTATATCATATATCTACCCATATATCCATCCCTTTATATGATCCTATTTTAACCAACTAGAAAATATGTACTAAAAAAAGACTAGTAAGATATATTTCAAAATGTTAACAGCGGTTACCTCTGGGTAGAGATATTGTGTGATTATTATTTCCTTTTTTGTTTATCTGTATTTTAAGGATTTCTTATAATAAACATGTATTACTTTTAAAATAAGAAAAAATTATTTAAAGAACTAATTTGGTAGCAACATGAAAATTAGATTGGAGGACATAAGACTAGAAGCAGAGAGAAAATATGAGAGGATATTGGGGTAACTCAAGAGATAGATGATGAGTACTAGAGAATGTAGAAAAGAAATTGATGGATATGAGATATTTTAGAAAAATAGTATCAACATGGCTTGGTAATCTAAGGAGACTGAAGAGCCTAAGGTGAGTCTTAGTTTTCTGGCTGTGCATCTGGGTGGAAGAAGGGAGCATTCACCCATATATGTCAATGTGGGGTGTGTGTGTGACTTGGAAGGGAGATGAGTCTGAATATACTGATTTTGAGGTGGAATGTTCAGGGGTTGATGCTCATCATCAAGCCTCTCAACATTAGCACTTGTTAACAAGTATTGAGCATTTTCAATATGGCAGCCACTATGTATTATCTCATTTAATCTGCCCATTGACCCTGTGAAGTATATATAATCATTATCCATGTTGCAGATGAGGAAACTCAAGCGTCAAAACGCTTAAGTGCCTTGACCATGATCATAGTGCTAATAAGTGACAGGACCAGGATTCAAATTCAGGTCTCTAATATCAGAGACAATAAAAACCTGTTATTACTGTTCAGGAAATGTACACTTGGAAGTATCAGCTTGAAAACATAGGACACTGGCAGGGTATTTGGGAGGCTCCCAAACAAAGCTAAGTCCTGGCTCCCACAGCCAAATTTAGTGCAGGTTACCGACATACAAACAGTCCCTACAGAGGTGACATGACAGCCTCTGCCCTCAAGGAGCTCTCATTTCTTGGGGGAGACAAATGACAGGGAATCCAAAACCTTCTGATCCTAGGTAATTCTGACCTGTAAATATGTTTGTTCATTAGATCAACTATTAGGATTATTTATATTTGGGAATCTGGAATGGGGGATTATATGTTTACATATGGGTGCCCAGTAAAAATGGTTAGCACTCTGAGCTTACTTCCCAGGCTACTGTGTATCCGTGTATCTCTAGGTTATCTTCTCTACACTCATATCCATATATTTCTTTTCTGACTGTTCTATCTCTGGGGAAAAATTCCACCATCCTATACAGCATTTATCAACAAGAAACTTAATGCTATATGGTTAGCTGTACAGGAAATGATAACTGCTCCTAATACTTTATTGAGCACACCAACTTTTCCTAAACACTTTAACAACCATTATTTCAATGAAGCCCCACAAAACCATTGAGGCTAACATGCCATCACACATGCTTTTTTGGAACAAGGCAGAATATGACTAATAAATGAAGTATGCCAGTACCTCCACTCTCCATGTCAGAAATATATAGGGGAAATGACTTATCCAAGGTCACATGGTAAGTCAGAGAAAGGGCCAATATTAGAAACAAGGTCTCCTGGCCCCTGGCTGATGGTCTGTTTACTGGGCTACTGCCACTCACACTATCATCCCTTTTCAACTCCTAGCCTCCCTCCCTCCCTGCCACACCAAAACTCCCTACAAAAGGGCAATTTTACCAGACACAGCCATAGTGTCGTTGATCCATGCAATGGAAAAGATCCAGTCCTTGTGCCCATCCTTGGAGAGGAGGGAGTGACAGGTAAAGAGAGGGAAAAAAAAATTAGTAAAATAAGGATTACAACGCATACTCCTGAAAAGTATACAAGTCTGACTGAAAATATCTTTGTAAAAATTGTAACTCTGATCTCTAGTGACTTTAACCCATAGGGCATGATTCCACCATCTTTAACTTCAGTCTTGAGGGGCTCAAAGTTGGAATGAAACTGGCATTCCTATGGACAACAAGCATGCCCAGAAGACACAAAGCTCAGGCTTTCTATTTCTGGATGTCTCATCTGGCCCCCTACACACAATCACCCACCTTTCATCACTCCGACCTCACCCTACCACTCTCCCTCTTGCTTCCTGGGACAACAGCTATAACTGACCTCTTTGCTGTCCCTTCTGTGGGGAACTCTCTTCCTTCAGACGTCAACATGGCTTGCACCCTCATTTCCTTTTCGTCTCCCTGCTCAAATGTCATTCTTATCAATGAAGTCCTCCCCGGCTATCTTCTGAAACAGGATCCTCCACCACACTCTCTATGGCTTTCAGCCTGCCTTTACTCTTCTCCATAGCACGTATCGACTTTGACATACTGCTGTTCAATATTTATTGGTTAATACGGTTTATATTTTGGTTTATGTCTCCCTTCACTAGAATGCAGGCTTCAAGAGGACAGGGGCTGTATCTGTTTTTATTCATAGCTGTGCTCCCAGTGTCTAAAATAATGCCTGGCTATAAAAAGCTCAATAAATAGTTGCTGAGTGAATGATTTAATACATTTTGCTCTTTGACTAAGGGCAGTAGATGTGTGGACACTGGACTCAAACACTAACCCACTGCTGCTGGACTGAGGTGTGCTGCTCACCCCGCTTTATCAATCATATACTCTCTGTCAACATACCTGACACTCCCTATGAGGAATACAGTCCCCATTCTGAAATTTCCACCCCCCACACCTCACCTCTATGACCCTGAAGTCAGCAGAAATCTACAGGAAACTATCCCTTCCCAGGGATCTTGTGGAAGGAGGGTCCATGTAACCTACTGGGCTCTGTTGAAAAACAAGGCTACCTCTAACTACAATTACTGGAGAAACTTACATCTCCCACACACACAGGATCTAGTGTAGGCAGCCGGTAGATAGCAAGACTGTTGGGGTTGTCTCCTCCGGTGGCTAACAGTGTTCTAGAGGGATTCAGCTCGATGGCATGGATACCACAGCCCTGCTGGGTTACACCTCCAGGTTCCCGGTCCTTCAGAATGGGAATCTTGGTAATCTGGCTTGTCTGGACATCCACTACAAAGAGCTATAAGAGAAAAGGGACACAGAACAGTTTCTCTTAATGTAGCTGACCCTGAGTACAAACATCCATTCACTCAATTATCCATCAAACAATTAATTGATTGTCTCCTACATGCTAGTCGCTGGGAATTATTAAAGGCATAGTCAGGGCTACTAGTCAAATGAAACATGAAAATAAGAAAATATAACAGAAATAGGTATAATATGCTACAGAAACACAGATTAGGAAGCAGTCAACTTTGCATGGGATTCAAACATGGCTTCAAAGGGGACGTGCATTAGACTATGGACCTAAAGAACCTGATTAAGGGTTTTCAGCTAGTCTGGGTATATTTTATATGTCTAATCTTATCTATACATGCATAGAAACTTAAGAAACAAAACACAATTCCCAGAACACATCACAACCACTATGAAACATACCTATAAATGCTATCACATTTGCTGGAGTGACCTGAGACATGTGACAAGAGCTAACATCTTACTGCATGTCTCTTATCTCACTCTATTCCACGCTTCCACACCTTTGCTCATACTGCTGCTTCTGCCTGAAGTGATCTTCTCCCCCTCTTTACCAATGTTTTATGGAAAAGGTCAGTCTTAGAAGGCATTCTCAATAGCGTCTACTATTAAACTCTTTATATGATTTAATATTTCATTCCTTCACTCAATTCATTCAGCACCAACTAAATGCCAAGTACTCTTCTAGGTGCTAGGAATGTAACTATGAACAAGAAATAGTCCTTGCCCTCATATATATACCTTATAGTCTAGGAAGTTGATTTATAATCCTGTCAGCAATTCTCATGGTGAAGCCAAATAATATCAAATCTTTGTGTAAAGTAACCTACTGCTTGTACAGAAGATCTATCAAAGAGAAACTACATGAGCCTTAAATTTAAAATATAAAAAGAAAAGGAGTAGCTGAACAAGAGTAGCAGGCAGAGGCTGCGGAAAAATTTTACAAAGGTGGAGTAGAGGGGGAATAACCACTCTTGAATCTGTAATGTAAGCTCTGACAACTACTTAAAGCAGACCCACTGCCTAACTGGCACCATTGCTGATGTGTCCTACAGACATTTTAAACTCAGTGTGTCCAAAAGAAATTATCTTCCTCCTCAAATTGCTCATTTCATCTAATACCATCACAATTTGCCCAGTCACCCAAGCCTGGGATTTATCCTACTCTTCCTTCTCTTCATTCCTATCATCCAATCTAGCCCTGCCAAATCTACCTCCTAAATCAGCGGTTCTCAACCTGTGGGTCGTGACCCCTTTGGGGGTCGAACGACCCTTTCACAGGGGTTGCCGGGTACTCATATGTGGGCGTATCTGCATGTGGGCCTGGAGACGGACAGAGGAGTGGTGTCTCGGTTCCTAAGACCATCGAAAATATGTGTTTTCCGATGGTCTTAGGCGACCCCTGTGAAAGGTTGAGAACCGCTGTCCCAAATATTCTTACAGTTGGCTCCTTCTCCATCCTCTCTCATCACTTCTCCTTTGGACCATTACAACTAGTCTTTTTGCCTTCACACAAGGCCAACTTCAAGACTCTTCTCCATATTATAATCATAAAAATGCAAATCCTCCCATGTTAATTAAAAAACACCCAATAGTTCCCCTTTACCTAAATCCAAGCTCCTTAGCATGGCATCACGACTCTCCTCAATCTGGCCCCTACCTATCTTCTCTAGCTTCGTATCTGCCATGGACTTTATGCTCTAGAAATAACTGATTCTATTCACACAAAAATCTTCAATGAAATACAGTTATTCCGTTTCATGCTCATGCTGTTCACAATGCCAGAAATGCTTTCCCCTGACCTCTTTACCTGGCCAACATGTACTTATATTTCATGATTCAGCTCAGACAAGTCCAGGCTTGTTAAGTTCTATTCTTGTAGGCTCCTAACATAAGCCCTCTACTCACAACTCAGACCCTATCATACTGATTTAAAATCTTGTGTCTCTTCCCTTTTAAGCTAATAACACCCTTCCAATTCCAAGATCAGGGAATTTATTTATTTGGTTCTATAATCCTGCCCCAACAACGCAAAGCTACATAGTAAGCACCTGTAGTTGTCACCTTTCAGGGGGCTCTGCCCAATGATGTTAGGGAGCTGCCACATCTCTGGGACCCTGGCTGTTTGTTTGATACAAGTCCAGATCTCCAGATCACAGTGCTGTCCAGGGGTAGCCTCCTAGCTCAGGGAGAAGCAGTCTAGAGGCTAGATTGGACTGTGTTATTCAAATTCTCTCAGGAACATGGAGCTGACTGGTGGCACTAGACTGTCTAGATGGCCATTTTCTACCAAAGCCAGTCCCCCAAAGAAAAGGAAACAGAAGAGAGAAAGCACAGCCATCCTTAGTTCTCAGTGGCTTTCCAATTCTTAGTTCTGTTTCCTTCTGAGATCCAGGGATAACTCCCGCTTTTGGGGTTTGTGAACTAGCCTTTCTAAAAAATGAGAGTGGGTTTCTTACCCTTTCAAACAAATGATCTCCAACCAACACAGCCCTTCAAACGTTTAATGAAGCAAAATTAACTGCCCACTTACCCCTTTGTCCGGTGATTTCCAAACTGATTATTGCTGTAACCTGGGGAAATTTCTTTAAAAAAAAACCACAAACAAACTACAAAGCAAAAACAACTCCCAGGCCCTACCCTTACTGAGTTTGGGGCCGGCCGAGTGGCGCGATGGTTAAGAACTCGCTTGGGATGCCAGAAGGCCCCGGTTCGGATCCCACATATGAGGGCCAGTGACACTGCCCTCTACAGCTAAGATGCTGAACAACAGCTCAACCTGGAGCTGGGCTGCCGTGAGTCGCCGGCGACGGCGTGGGCTGCAGTCCCTGTGGCAGTGGATTGCCATGGGCTACTGTGTGTGGCCAGCAGCCAGCGTGAGCGGCCAGCAGCCGCAGTGAGCGGCCGTCCAGAAGCCGGCGACTGATCTGCCTCGCCAGGGAAGAGCGCAATGATGGTGCCAACTTGGGCCAGTGAAGCAACATCCTCCACAACTAGATTGAAGAACAAAAAACGACAGCAACTTGTCTGTTCCCCTTCCCCCAATTCCCCAGCACTGTTCCCATCCCCCCAATTCCCCAATAAAAATCTTTAAAAAAAAAAAAAAAGAAAAAGAAATTACTGAGTTTGGGCCCAGTAAAACTGATTCTTTTTCCCCAAGGATCTCCAGGAAAATTACTGAGTTTGGGCCCAGGTTTAACAACCACTGTTCTAGATCCTTGGCTATTCAAAGGAGCACCTGGGAGCTTGTTAGAAATGAAGACTCTCAGGTCCCATCCTAGATCAACTAAGTCAGAATCTGGAGTTCCCCAAGATCTCCAGGTCCGCTGAAGTTTGAGAAACACTGACATGGACAGAATCTGCTCTATACACTGAGGGCAGTGAGTCTAAGACACAAGAGTAAACTGACCTGCGACCTGGAAATATCTGAGTTTCTCCTATGGAATCTAAAACTATGGAATCTAAAACTTCTAAGACAGCTAATAAGAGGTAGTGTCTAGCACAGGGCTCAGCACAAAATAGGCTTAACAAGTGATAGCTAACAGTAATACACTATCCTAATGTTTGTTTAGTTTTGCAGGGTGTAATAAAAGCTTCTACACTGGACGAAAAACATTTGATATAAGGGAGATGGAAAAACTGGTAACAGATGGTTCTGCAGAGGCCTAGGAAACCAAGAGTTCCCCCCAACCTCACCCTCGTCCTTGCAGAGGAATGACAAAGTACCATGTGAAGGATAGAACCCTTTTGCTTCTTCAGAGGAAGGGAAATGTGCAGGAGCTGCCACAGAATATCTCCCCATGCTCTCTGACAAGGGGCCAAGAATTCATGCAGCTCCTGTAACACTTCCCAGAATGGGGCTACTCCACATTAACCTACTGGGAGCCCTGCCACAAACTAGCAGCATGGCAAGGTAAGCTCGAGGCTCCATGGCTCCCTGGCTTACATTCTAGAGCAGAGGGAAAAAAAGAAAGCAAAAAGCCAAGATTGTAAGACTAGCGAGTACATCTCTGTAAGCATGAAGGTGTATGTCGACACATGCAAATGTGAACACATACAAGGTCAAAGTGGCTTAATAAAATGGCAGAGCTCACCAAGTTTCTAAAACTTGAGTGTGTTAGCTGGAGCCTAATAGAGAGGAAAGCAAATGCACACAGGTCACACAGGCATCAAGATAAACTATATTGAGTCTGACAGTAAAAGGCAAGTGGGCAGCCTAAGTTTGCTCAAAGTTGAGGACAGGAAAGAAAACCGAAATCAATGGAAAATATTAGGTCAAAGGGTATAATATTTTTAGGCTCTTTATTCAACAAATAATATGTACCAGCCTTTTGAAACATAATGCCAAATTACTTAAAAAAAAAAAGGTTTTTGGGGCAATGTATGTACCTGTTCCGCCATATCTTTATCAGAACTAGATATACTTTATCTTTAATTTGTACACAGAAAAATATTTTGCTTTTATCTCTATTCCTTCCATAATGAAATTAAATATAATTTTCTGTAATTTACTAATTGTACTTCCTCGTGTATAAATTATATCTAAATGAATTATTTTTAAGCTATTTGGGATGTGACAGACATACAAAAAGCAGCCGTTTATAGGGTAGAGAAATGCTCACTTTTCAAGTGTACCTGAATTTGGCCAAAAATACACCTAAAGCCTAGAACCATCAAACCACTATCACCATTAATTACATCAACAATTTACTATGCACATGTTCTAGGCACTGTGCTAATCAACTCTCACTAATTCTCTTCATGACTCTCCTACTGTCTCCATTTTTTTTTTTTTT